TTCCAAACCAGGTTCTGCCAGGCTAGCCTTTGTTTGTTTCCTTTGTTTCCTTAAGGAGGGCTAGCCTTTGTTTGTTTCCTTTGTTGCCTTAAGGAGGGCTAGCCTTTGCTCCTTTCCTTTGTTGCCTTCAGGAAGAATTAGCTCCCTGTTTAGTTCCTTCCAAGCCACGCTCTGCCAGGCTAGCCAGGAAAGAGTTAAGCCAGCAGTTTTGACACAGACAAATACCTGTGGAAGACCTAATACCTAAAGTTTTAAGCCCGGAGGAGTTATTTTCAAACTCCGCTTCCCACGCCTTTTTTCCTACATGCGGCTACGGTCTGCTCTGTACGTGGGTCTCTGTCTCCACTTGATTGCTCAAGGCCCATTGTCCAAATAGCCTCCAAAGCCCTTCATGATGCTAATGATGCACCACTCGGCGTCCATTACATCACTCGCATCACCACCAGACCACATTTTCACTGCTTTTCTGATCCTCGCTTTGGAGCGCTCTCCCCCACCAAGCTCTGGGTTCACCCTATCGTTCGCCCTAAAAGCTCAAGCCTAGCCTATCGGCTGGCTTTCGTAATATATATATATATATTACACGTCACATACATAAAGCTATATCCATAGGCTATAGTCTGAGTGAGTCTATGGCTATCTATAACATGTGGTCATAACGTCATGTAGATACACTAGTTCAACACTAACGTTGCATGGTGAGCCCACAAAAGTCACCAAAGAAGACCTCCTGGGATGGTAATACGGGGTACCAAGATCTTGAATAATAACCAGAATATGTCATCATATATCCAACTGTTCAAATCGCTGTCAGCCACTCTTGTCCAAGCCTACCTACCAAAGTGCATCAACACGAGGAATTATCAAGTCGACAAACAACGAAGCAAGGTGTTTCGAAGTACTGTAGCACAAATGCCACAAGTAGAAAGGAGGGTGTGCTTTTCCTCTTTTCCCGTCCATTTTCAAAACAGAGGGGTTCGAGCCTTCTGACCAAGGCTGGTGCGGCCGAGCACCGGAGGACGAGGACACGGCCGATCTTTGGTGGCTTCCTGCGAGCCCAAATGTGGACATCTGTGGACAGTCTTTCCAAGTCAAAAGGACACATGACCAATCCGAATGCTCCTCGAGCTCTTGCACCCTGGTCTTGACGTCGACAGATTTCCTTACGGCTCCGCACGAATCACGACACATCCAACAACAAACCATTGCTATACACCAACAAATCTTAGGGTTCTTTCATTTGAAGATGTTTGAACTATCCCGGTCCTTGATGAGCACAGGATCTGGGCATTGGATCGATCAATTTGGCAGGAACAGTTTGAGAGTTTTTAGACTCGAGCAATGGCCATGCCACGAAATCCTTGCTTGATTCATAAATCCGGTGTTCCAATTTCATGATCCGGATTCCCGGATGATTCCCAAACAGAACCGAGTTGGATACAATCCGAACCAACTTACTAAGTGGGCTACCATTGAACACCAATTGAACCTAAGAATCTTTCCTCTCATTGGGGTCGGATATAGAATCTCAGCTCCTAACCACCTAACCAAACACAGTTTAACAAAACAATGGAATCAATATCCCAGCATTTGACATGAAGTTCAAAAGACCTTGTCACCCGTTCGCCTCTGGTGTGCTTGCAAGCCGCTCCTGCTCAGATCTGAAACTGGGAAGTGCGTTTAGGAAACCCTATTCACCCGGGAGCCGTCCAATGGTGCGTGCTTCAGCCATCCAGCAATCCGAAAGACAAACACGGAGCATTGAAGCAAAAGTTCTACCAAGCCTTTTGGGTCAATACATCGACAAACACCAACAAGCCGTCCTTGATTGGCAGTCGCGGCGGTGTTTGTGCAGCATTTCCTTCTGCAGCCGGGTTTGCTCTTAGCTGTCACATAGTTGCACAATCTTTGCGTTGGTTTAGCTTTGTCTCAAAGGAGTGGATTTGGGGATCCCCAATCCAAACCGATTGGCCTTCATTTATGTCTATAGGAAACCAGTGTAATTTGTACATATATATACATATATACACAGGTTTGATCATTTTTGTACTTGTGCTAGCCCCCAAAGTCTACCTTTTGAGGCTTTTGAAGCATTCCAGCTGTTGTAGGCCTGGCATGAGTGTAGATTCACTTCTACTCGGGATTTGTTTGATTTGCACATCTTTTGCTCACTCTTCTATGTCGATATCTGCTGGGGGGGCAGTCAATTCTCTTGCATTTCTTGAAACTCCTCTTGTTATGATTTGGTCCTTCGAGTATTTTTTTGCTTCTACATGATCTTCAAGAACATACTGTAAATAGAACAAGTTGAACACGAATCAACAAGGACTATTTGAGCATGAGGCGAGCCTATTCAGACTAGGAAACAACTTGAATTTGTAGTGCAAACCAGTAAGCTATTTGCTTGCTACCCACATACTTGTCAATAAACTCAATATCAAATTGTCTCTATGCAAACTTGCTACATGCCCAAAATCTATTACGCACAATCAAATCCCATGGACAGGGACACGTCTCTAAGACCCAACTTGAATAATACTCCAAGGGCTTCTGACAGTTGTGGAGGTGTTTCCCTCAAGGATGACTTGAATTTTGCGTGAGCTGTTGGAAAGAAACATTGAATACAGGAGAATTGCAAGCACTCAAACATATAAAATAGAATATGATGCATTCATACACAGTGAAGCCCTCATATACAGGGAAAGGACAATCCACGAAGATTCGAGCATGTTGTGGAGCATACCAAGACTAAGGTGGATCAATGCTGCTCGAACATACCATTTTCTTTAGAGCCGATGATCCAACATCTAGCAACCGAGAGGGCTGCAAGCAATTAGCAAGGTGTTCAACCTCGTACTTTCAAGTTTTGAACCTATAAAAACATTATTTGTTTTTCAATTCAAGACTTGAGCTTCCCCAGAAAAGTTCCTCCGCTAGATCTTGAATGCTGTACTTGAAGAATTCTGCTCCCTGACACATAAAAATATTTTAAAAGTATATTCTTTTTTTGATGGGCCCTCCCTTAGCAGGTTTGGGGTAGGGCCGGGTAGGGGTCTCCCTCAGAATTAAGTCGTTATTCCGGGGAGTTACAATAGATTTGCAAAGTTATTCCCGAGGTGGTTGACATCCTGGAATAGTTTTGTCGGTTTGGTGTGTGAACACATATTCCAAATTGATGACAACGAGCAGGCGCTTCAAAAATGGCACATGTCCTTCAATGTGTTTTTTTGCTTTTTAATTGCAAGGTTACCTGAGGGTTGAGAACCATCACATATAACAATATATTCTGCAGGGCCCTGCACCCTCAGTGTCCTTGAAAAACAACAATCAAGAACTGGTTTAACAGTATTCCAAGGATGTGCGGGGTGGTTCAGGACTTTGCAGACTAATTTTGAAGGCATCATATACCTTAACATATTCAGCAGGGCACTGAAGTCCCAAGTAACTCTGTAATAATACATGAATCACTATATGTGTTGTGTTGTTCTCTTTATTAACTG